CCCTGCCAAACTGAGCAATCCTGAGAGCTCCAGAGTTCTTCTGTGGAGATGGGAGAACCTTCCAGAAGGACAACCATCTCTGCAGCACTCCACCAATCAGGTCTTCATGGTAGAGTGGCCAGACGGAAGCCACTCCTCAGTAAAATGCAGATGACAGCCCGCTTTGAGTTTGCCAAAAGGCACGTAATGGGCTCTCAGACCATGAGAAACAAGATTGTTTGGTCTGATGAAACAAGATTGAACTATTTGACCTAAATGCCAAGCGTCACATCTGGAGGAAACCTGGCACCATCCCTACGGTGAAGCATGGTGGTTGCAGCATCATGCTGTGGGGATGTTTTTCCAGTGGCAGGGAGACTAGTCAGGATCGAGGGTAAAGATGAATGGAGCAAAGTACAGAGAGATCCTTGATGAAAACCTGCTCCAGAGCGCTCAGGACCTCAGACTGGGGTAAAGGTTCACCTGCCAACAGGACCACGACCCTAAGCACACAGCCAAGACAATGCAGGAGTGGCTTCGGGACAAGTCTCTGAATGTCCTTGAGCGGCCCAGACAGAGCCCGGACATGAACCCGATCGAACATCTCTGGAGAGACCTGAAAATAGCTGTGCCAGCGATGCTCCCTATCCAACCTGACAGAGCTTGAGAGGATCTGCAGAGAAGAATGGCAGAAACTCCCCAAATACAGGTGTGCCAAGCTTGTAGCGTCATACCCAAGAAGACTCGAGGCTGTAATCACTGCCAAAGGTGCTTCAACAAAGTACTGAGTAAAGGGTCTGAATACTTATGTAAATGTAATATTTCAGTAATTTTTATTCATTATGGGGTATTGTGTGTAAACTGATGAGGGAAAAAATGTGGAAAAAGTCAAGGGGTCTGAATATTTTCAGAATTAACTGTATATGTTAATAACATATTAATGAACATATACAGTGAAAGAGCAGCTGTGAAATGTCCCTTTAAGTGACTTTTCCAATGGCCAAGCAGAACTAGACATACAATTATTTAGTCTAGGCCTTGGCTAACTCAGCAAATCCTCAAGTGAATTTCACTGTGTTCATAGAGCTATGTACACTATATATACAAAAGTATGTGGACACCCCTTTAAATTAGTGGATTCGGCTATTTCAGCCATACCCATTACTGACAGGTGTATAAAATCAAGCACACAGCCATGCAATCTCCATAGACAAACATTGGCAGTAGAATGGCCTTACTGAAGAGCTCAGTGACTTTCAACGTGGCACCGTCGTAGGATGCCACCATTCCAACAAGTCAGTTCGTCAAATTTCTGCCCTGCTAGAGCTGCCCCGGTCAACTGTAAGTGCTGTTATTGTGAAGTGGAAATGTCTAGGAGCAACAACGGCTCAGCCTCGACGTGGTAGGCCCACAAGCTCACAGAACGGGACCACCGAGTGCTGTAGCGCGTAAAAATCTCCTGTCCTCGCTTGCAACACTCACTACCGAGTTCCAAACTGCCTCTAGAAGCAACGTCAGCACAAGAACTGCTCGTCGGGAGCTTCATGAAATGGGTTTCCATGGCCGAGCAGCCGCACACAAGCCTAAGATCACCATGCACAATGCCAATGGTCGGCTGGAGTGGTGTAAAGCTCATGGCCATTAGACTCTGGAGCAGTGGAAACGCTTTCTCTGGAGTGATGAATCACGCTTCACCATCTGGCAGTCCGACAGACGATTCTGGGTTTGGTGGATGCCAGGACAACGCTACCTCCCCGAATGCATAGCGCCAACTGTAAAGTTTGGTGGAGGAGGTATAATGGTCTGGGGCTATTTTTCATGGTTCGGGCTAGGCCCCTTAGTTCCAGTGAAGGGAAATCTTAGTGCTACAGCATACAATGACATTCTAGACAATTCTGTGTATCCAACTTTGTGGCAACAGTTGGGGAAGGCCCTTTCCTGTTTCAGCATGCAAGTCCCCGCAGCAATGTTCCAACATCTAGTGGAAAGCCTTCCCAGAAGAGTGGAGGCTGTTATAGCAGCTAAGGGTGGACCAACTCCATATTAATGCCCATGATTTTGTAACGCCTCCAGCCTTTTGGGCATGTAGTGTATGTTTGTGTGTACTACAAACTGCCACTCTTGGATGAGGGCCTGTGTTTTGGCAGTGTCAGTAGTAGGATAACAAATGTAGCATGGCGTGGAGGGCCACATGTCTCCACAAGTCATTGCACTTGAAAAGCAGGATTCATTTTCAGAAGCAGTTATCTAATGGCTCCAAGTATGAGAAGCCACAAATAAAACTTGGACACGTGCATTTCCCCCCAACACAACAGCTCATGGAGAGAGTGGTTTTCATTTCCAAATTGCAGACAAATCACAGACTGAATTCTGTAGTCTGCTACTCTAGAATGCCTGAGAGGGGTTCTGCTGCCGATCTCCAAAATGCTATTATGAAATATCAAAGGGTCACTCTGAAACTATATTTATTTCCTTCAATAAATTGAATTGATGACATGGATGCATGAATGTATTTCAGCCTCAATATGGGAAAGTCAGTAACTGTGGAGAAATGGAATCTTCACATTAATTGCTATCAAACCTTCAAATTCACCATTTCACTTCTAATTAATATCACATTAAGTATGTAGCCCTCCCTTGCATGCCAAGGGAGTGAGCAGTGACTCTGTAAAAGCTTGCAAAGAACTTTGGAAACTCACTTCCCAGTTTAAGAGCAAATGCCTCCAACCAACTGGAATACTGTCAGCTGACATTATCTCCAAGCAACCGTTCCTGAACCAATTAAATGGGACATTACAAGATGTCACAGTCATCTTTGACTCTTATTTGATATTCAACATTAGGAAAGACACAGACACCTTCTGAAGGATCATTTTGGATCATCCATACAAACAATTATTTTGACCTGTATTGAGAAAAATTAAATAGCCAGACGTTGATTATAATGCACATGAGATGCACACTGGTTTGCCTCCAAAATGCTTCCCATCTCCTCAACATGTGGTCAAGGCAATTTCTCAGAACAACTCTGAAGGCAGGAAATGAGTGGAGTTCAAAGGTTACTGAAATGTCTGCAACTACTGTTACTTTAGTTACTACATGTGCTCAATATGAGATAGAAGAATGTAGGTTAGAGTTGATTGAAAGAGATGCACAAGACCCTCTGGTTGTGGACTATTAAATTAGTCAAACCCTTTGCCTTAGACATGCAATTATGTCACCAAATTGCAATTTGATTGCAACATGTGTCCAAAAATGTGTTGCAACACTATATTTTTGGGGGTATAGAATGGCATAGAATAATTGAATGAATTTAAGGAATCCCAGTTAAGACTGGGAAAAGGTTTGAACTGAAAAAGGGATTGGAATGACATAAGACTCCATGGGTTACAAAAGTCCCATATTTTCCAATTTATTTAATCTCAAGACGATCTCACATGTTTAAAAATTCCACAATAATGATCTAATATACACGTTTTTTGTCATATCCTCAACAATCTTTAGAAGCATTTCAGCACACCTCCAAATAATAATGACTACTTCTAAACATGACGTGAACAATAATGTATAGTAGGCTAGACTACAGTTGAGAAGAAAAGCTGTTGGCTGACAGTTCTCACACAGAACCCTCTAAACGAGTAAATACACGTAGAATTAATCCACATACCTACCTTGAGCCAGAGAGCGGTCGTCCAGGAGTTCGTTGGGACACATTATCATCCATGTCTAGCTGCACAGGTTTAACAAAATCCCTCGGACTACCGAAAGACAAGCAAAACACACAATTATTCATATTTAATAACTAAAATTGCACAGGTTTACATCTAGAGCTGTCCCATCCGAATGCTTGCTGTGGTTGATCGAAACCTACTGACAATCAGGTCATAGTTTCGCAGGGTAACTTTGTTCTTTGTTGCCCGGCATGCAAAGTGGGACACAGGACAATTAGGATTTAATTAAGCTCATTATGTTACTCGTCATCTCTTACCATGAATGCCCCTGGCCCTCCACGCTGCTGTCAACTTTCATCAGTATTTATTTGGGAGAAGAAAATAAATTATACCGTACAAAATATACCGTGGCGTTGATTCGTTCAGCGATGCATTACGCTACTGTGCGTTCAAAATGAATTCTGGAACTCCCACTTCTATCTCCAACTCTTGATCCACACAACAGTCGGTCCTCTGTTCCAATATGCCGCCAGTACAACACAGTCTTTCCATCGTTTAGCCAGCAGTCTACATTTCAAAGTTGTGACACGATGCCTGCTACAAGCCCTGCTAAGTTTTCTCTGCCAAATGCATACCAACTCCAAAAATCGACGCCGAAACGTATGGTTAGAGATTCAAATAACCATTCATGGGGCGTCGAATACCTCGACTCTTCTCTAGTTTTTCCTCCCAGCAGTGATTTAATCTATCCATCCCAGAGGGAATACTCATACTTCCCTGTTTTTGAAATAAATTGAACAATGTAAATGTATGTAAAAATTGTATTGCAGGAGTCAATTCATATTACTTGTATTATTATTTTGTTTTACATCTGAAGTGAACAATTCGGGTTTACATTTATAATATTGAAATAGCCTAAATATTATAATCATGAAATTGCCCAAATAGTATGTATACATATTCCCTCTACCCATCAGTTGAAAATGCACTACCATTGGACAAACTTATATAACTACATTAATCTTCGAAGGGCATGACATCAAGGCAAGAGGGCATTAGGTGGCTTTGTTTTCAGTTTAGAATTGAACCTTTCTATAATAGTTTTATTTAGTTTGATTATGTTATAGCGACATCATGTGGTAGGTTTCTCTAAAGTAAATACTTGCAAAATTCAAGGTGGAACTTTGTCTCACAGTCTGATTACAAATTGATAAATGTATTGCATATTGGCACTTTATCATTCACACATCAAAGTCAAATAGTAGCCTAAATTATGACACACACATTCATTGCAGAGGTAATAAATACAATGAGCATACAAAGTCATATCCAGTGTGTAACAACAATGTTTCATCTAGAATTCTGAGTTGAATTCTGAAAGAGTAGCTCAGTGGGTGGTGTGGGGGTTATGGAGAGGTTGGAAGTTGCGCAGTAAAACATCTCGGCACCATGGGAGCAGTCTTCGGGGAACATGACCGCCATTATCAAACCAGTTGTCATGACAAAGACACCAGCTATGAGGATGAGACAGGGGATGCGGTTTTCACCTTGGAACCAGTGCTCTGTTGAAAGCTTGAGGTAGCAAGCTGATGGAATGATGAAAATTAAAGGTGTGGCACTTACAACACCCTGGAAGACAAAAAACACTGTTTAAAAGATTACCAATGCAATTTTAGTAGAGAAATAAGTTACAACAAATCAAAGGACATCCAGCTTACATTCAACACCAGAACAATACCCAGACAGTCATAGGCCAAGGATAATGCTGTGCACACTGCAACTATGAGCAAGGTGACCACCACATGGGCATGGTTGTTGAGAGACCCTTTAAAAAAAACATTGGATACCACCTACAAACATAAAAGAGAGAATAAGGACTTGATTTTTGCAGGTGATGTGCACTAAAATCAATGAACATTGCGCCACAACAAACTGTCCTGTGCCATATGAAGTGGCATGTGCATAAATAACGTCATACCTCTCGAGTCACAAAACACTCTAGAGGAAAAGTTGTTATTATACTGATGCCAAAACAGAAGCGACCAAAAGTAGCTAGGTCATCGTTCCCGCAGTAGTTTTCAAAGATATCACCTGAAAATATAAGAGGCGATCAGAAAAATTTACTCCTTAGGCAGTGTGTATAGGGATGCACTTGGGTCTAACACCACAAGATTGTTCTATGATTCCATGTGTTGTGTTTTACCTTGTGTGTACCCAGTGAAGGTAGCATAGCCAGTCGCAGCAAACAGAATACTGACAATCATAGCCGAACCAACAGACATGTGGGTGACACAAGACCAGTTACTTAGACTCTGTTCCTTCAGAGACCCGTAGATCATAAAGCTGTTGTGATGGCAGATAAAGGCTATGGAACAAAGGGATATGGCAAAGTATTACAACCTATTGATAGTCCAAATTACATTTTTGTGTGATTGTTTTGTGTGGAGTTCCTCTATTATGAAACCTGATATCCATTATCATACAATATGACAGTGTACACATGTATGGGCCGTTTTGTCTCGGACAAGTATTTATTGTACTTTACACATATATAGTAGATGTAGTCGAGAACTCACCAAAAGACATAACACCAACGGCCTGAATCGCATTCCACCTTGCAAACACCCACGCATTTTCTGTAGGGGGACTAAGGACACAAAGTCATTGGATAAACATTTTGTTAGCCATTTTAAGATTTTATAATTCTAGAGTAAGTTGCTTCAATAGTCGTTTAGTTGACTGAAATGTAAAATAAAAACAGAATGTGTTTCAGATTGGATTAGAGTATGATATAGCATATGAGTGAATAGATTATGACAGTGTTAAGTAATATAATGACATCCACTGTGCTCTTGACAAGATGTTACATTGTGTGTCTGCCTTTATTGATTTGTCGAAGGCGTTTGACACCGTGGACCATGCTGTGTTGGTGCAAAGTTTAAAATGTTGTGGTATTACTGGTCATGCTCTAGATTGGTTTATAAATTACCTATCAAATGGTACACAATGTGTAATGGTTGTAAATCTGAGTCCATAGAGTTGTGCTTAGGTGTTCCGCAAGGTTCTATTTTGGGCCCACTGTTGTTCATTTTGGATATCAACAACATTGGGGATCATATTGAAACAGCGGATGTTCATTTTTATTCAGATGATACTGTTTCAAGTGGTAGTAGTTTATCTTTGGCTTTTGAAAATGCCCAAAGAGCATTTAATATCATACAACAGAATCTTTGTGATTTGAAGCTGGTTCTGAATTCGGGTTTTAAAAAATGCAATGGTATTTTCAAATGCCAGGCATGTTACTAATCATGTCGTTGCTACATTGGATGGACATACTATAGAGCAAGTGAAAGTGTACACATATTTGGGAGTGTTGGTGGATGACAAGCTGAGCTTCACTGTTCATGTGGAGAACTTGATAAGGAAGCTCAAGCTGAGAATAGGTTTTTATTACCGGCATAAGGCTTGTTTTTCTCTGGAGGCCAGGGAGGAGCTGGTACAATGTACATTACTGGTGGTTTTAGATTTTAGTGATGTTATATATATGCAGGCCTCAAACACTACCCTGAGAGCACTTGATTCAGTATATCATGCGGCCCTCAGGTTCATTACCAATCAAAAACGTCTAACACATCATTGTGATCTCTACAGCGCCGTTGGCTGGTCGTCATTGACCTTGCGTAGGCTTAAACACTGGAATACACTGATTTATAAGGCCATACTGGGTAAAATGGCACTTTATCCCTGTTCTTTTTTAATCAGGTCAGTAAATAAATATCAATTACGGTCCCATTCTCATTCGCTTTTAACAGTACCAAGAATTAGAACAGGTCATGGTAAAAATAGTTTTAGTTGCTCAGCTCGGTGGTCCTGGAATTCTCTCCTGAACATTTTAAAATGTGATGATCTAGTCACGTTGGTGCAGTTTAAACACTTGGTCGATGTAAATATCATAGAAGAATGTAATTGTCTTTAGGACAGCTGTTTTTTAGTTATGACATTCGTGTTTCTTTACGTAATATGTAATTGTTGTACTGTATGTGTGTCTATAGTTTTGTTCAATGTTGTGTTAGTGTATGTAAGTTGTTTTGTCTGAAACTTTGTTCCCCCTGCTGCTGTTGGACCAGATCTCTCTTGAAAAATAGATTTTATCGCAATGAGAAAAACCTGTATAAATAAAGGTTAAATACATACACATATATATATATATATATATATATATATATATATATATATATATATATATATATATATATATAACAAAACAACAAACAAACAAAAAAACAAAATATATATATATAAATAACAAAACAACAAAATATATATATATATGTACATTTGTGGTCCTAGGGTAGATGCTCTGATGATAACAGTGATGAGGATGAAAACAGTCAACACCATGGACAGTAAGGACACCTGGAATCACATAGATAGATGCTTTAGCTCACAAATTACAGAATGAGTCAATGACTCCTTAAATAAATGTGACAATATGTGATTAAGTCTTACCTTTCCCAGCATTGATATATTCCGGAAAAGAGACAAGGGTAATGTGAATAGAATAGTGGATACTGCGATGACAAAATGTCTCTCTGCAAGTATGTGGCCTGGTCCAACTGCAAATAGCATGTATGAAAAATATGAATGAGCAACATACAATAATAAATGTGGCCTTGGTGTTTACACTAAATTCATCAAAACTGTGACCTATCTTTTACTGTCACTGGATTATATGTTCAGATATATTACATTAAAGTACAATGTACCCTACTGTACCTCCAGGTAGTCTCTGAAATACTTTGGTCAATGTGTCACCAGTTATAATGTTGTAGCTGATCATAGCTGGGGAAGACACATACTGTGGTTATGTTACAATCCAAGTCCCATGTGCCTGTATATCAGTTTGTATGAGACTGCTCAATCTCATAAAATCTTGGTTGTAAGTAGTTCTGATTTACTTTCAAATCTCAATTGAAGACTTACCTATGAAAGGGTATAGGAACTGCAATAAAGACAGAACCAGAAATCCAGTGATACCAAAAGTGCTACGTACAAGTGACTGGTAACTATTTGTCCCTGAAAGATTCCCTCCTTTTATCAACAAGATGATAGAGTAGTCTGCAGGGAAGAAACAGAACAACACCACAATGTTAGCTGTTCATTTTATCATAAAAGGGAGTTCATCACAATTGTCACCATTACAGAACCTACCTGTAATAAATGCTACCAAAACCAGGAGAAAAATGCCAAGGGGAAGGCCAGCCTGGTTCATGGAGTATGGCAAACCTGAAAAACAAATTAAATGACAGATCATGCAATTTTGTTATTTTCAGAACATACATATTATTAGTTTTCATTGAACTGACAGAAATAGTTGAGTCATACAATTTAGAAAGAATTTTGGAAGTGCAAAAGAAGTCTTATGATGTCAGTGGTCATATGATGCAGAGGCCAACCACCCAGGGGCTGATCACTGTGGCTGAGGTAGGTCCTATGATGTTTTCTATTCCCAGGAGATCATGTGATCCTGCATGTTCCGAACATATATAACTTGCTTATCTTATTGGGTAAAATGATTGATCAACTTATTATACAGTAACTTGCAACAGGTGCTCCCCTCTCTAGATGGGTGTCAATTGCAACTATTGCCACCAGTAGGTCTATTCTGCTGTGCCACTGAAATACAAACATGATGTTCCCACAGTTCAATGTATAAACACTAATTTACCTATTATTCCAGATCCTATTATCGAATTGATGAAATTAAAAGAGGCTGACATCATCGAACTTTTGGCTTCTCCTCCAACCACCTTTTGTGAAGCAAGCAACGGTTTCCCGTCGCCATTCTCAATCTAGGGTCAAATTAACACATTTTAACACAATTAACACATCATGTTGTAGAATGGTGGTAATCGTGAGTATCAATAAAAGTAAAGCTATTAGTATCATAGCAAGTCAGCAGCCTACCTGTTGAGCATCCCTGTCTCCACTTTCCTGTATTGATGTATTCATTTTTATTCCACCAGGTGATCTAAATGTTTCCGTCAATGTATTTTCTATCCGCATCTCTGCCATGAAATGTATTAACTTGGCAGAATGTTCAAAACTTTCCTGATCGGAGTCGGTGAAGTCCGCCCATGAAAAACGTTGTCAACAGCGCCCCTAAATGGCTTAGTAAAATACTGGGTGCGTTCCAGATATGTCTAGACAATTTATGCGCTGGTTGCGCTGATTACAACATTATTATAATACTCATGTGGTTCATGAGACGTGAAATATAGACCTGCGTTAAATTGTGTATCTGGAACGCGTCCAAACTATAAGCCGCATTCGACACACATACCCCGTCGAGTGAAGTGAGTTTTAAAAGATTAGTATCCAAAGTATTTCTTTGTTCAACTGAAGGAGTGAAAATACAAAAACGAACAAATCCTACACCAAATGGATAATATAATACAAATAGGCATATACCTCCTTTGGGCAAGACTATCACAGAAATTCAAAGAGTGCAATTAGGGACAATGGAAGTAATTACCTAAAATTGTATGTTGGGTTCTATTCAACATTTCTGATGGTTTTAAAGAGTTCATAAAGGTTTGGTCATGTGTTGATATCAATTGTTCCATTCTGAAAGAAATGTAGCCCACTGTACTTACCCCAGTGTGATCAAGTCAGCTGACATGAGAAGGCCTAAAAGGCTGGAGTCAATTTAGGTCAGACATGTTTAGCTTTTTCTCAGAAAGAAACAAAGCAGAAACACAAAATTAAACTCAACAAAAACGATTTGACTTCTGAAATAAAATCTGGTCAGTCTGTGGTATCAACAATACAAATGTGTTATGTATGAAGACTTGAAATAATATCAAAAGCAGTACTATGTGTTGTTAGGCTTCACTACTGTATGTGAGATAAGCTGTTATTCAGTTTATAAGAGTGTATAACATGACACCACCATCCAATGTTGGTACAGGAAAACATTAAAGCCTCAATCAGTTAAAGTATTTGAAACATTTAAAGCAATTGAGATCACACTCATTACTGTACATTTCAAAGTTTCCCATCACACTCTTGCTTTCCCATAATGCATGCTGTGTTGCCCAGGATTGCATTAGCTAAGTCCGGGCCACATTATCTGGCTGGCACTCAGACAAACACTTGCTCTTTAGAGCACCATCCATCAGTGTCACTGTCTCTGAGCATTGATGTCCTAGAAATGACTGAACGTGTCAGTGTAGTTGCTGATGATTCAGAGAAGTGGGTAATGGTGGAAACTCACACACTGGCCAACCGTGCTATAGCAACATGAACCCAGCAATGTGCCCTGAATGAAAAAAGGCTCCTGGGAAAAAACATTTAACAAGGAAGTCTGTAAATGTCACAGAGTGGTTTGTTAGTCATCCATCAGCGTGGGCCCCTTTGGCAACAAAAGGAATTTACCCAGAAAACAAAACCTTTAGAGATTCATGATGTAATTCATATAATTGAATATAATTAAAAAGTAGTGTTACTGTAATTTACCCAAATTTGAGTTTAACCAACACATTTTACCCAATTGGTAACACCAATCTATATGTGCTCCCTTCTTTAACTATTTCCCTCACAGTCACACATCTCCAGTCAGGATCAGACTTAACCAATCCTCTGATGTTGAAGGGAGAACTACCAAGACGTTCAATAACACTGTTTTCTCTGAAAATACAGAGTTGATGGTTGCTGTACTTCAGTACATGGAAGAATGAGGTACACAAAGCAGCCCATTGGATTTCATTCTGTTTGATCCCTGAACAGTGCTGCCTGCAGCCCCTAGGTGTCATCAGAAAACGTGGAGGTCTGGGAGTATTTTAGAGGTAGAATGACAAAAGGCAATATTCACACTTTTTTACAAGTGCCTTCTTATTTATCACAGTCTCTTAACAAACATCTAAAAGAAGAGTAATAGATGCATCAAAGTTGGTATTTTATGTCTTCTTAGATTAGGCTATGCTAAATGATGACAACAAGAGTAGGCTACTACAGTGTAGAAAAACGAAATGGATTCACACATGGTAGTGACAATGCACACATGGTAGTGACAGCTGTAGCGAAGCCTTTAGTTGTATCATAATGAGAAAAAACACCCCCTACTTCACCCACCACTAGATGATGATCTGACACTTTTTTAATGTTCTTTAAGGTGTTACAGGTACACGTCATCTCCAGTTCAGTGATACCAAACTGTAGGCTGGCTCTCTATGATCTCTTCCCGACTTCCCAGTCCTCAGCAGATATTATTTATGATCACGCGCACAACCCTGCATCTCTCCGGTCATTTGTGCCCGGTAACAACCGGAAGCGCAACAGAATGCTCTGAACAGGGCGACTGTGTTGGCAGCAATTTCATAACGCTCTCCTGTGTGATTTTTTTGGGTCCAACTCTGGGAAATACTACATTATAGAGAGGAAAACCTTTTGACTAAATCAAGTATCCACATGTGTCCTCCAATCACCTTTTTACTCGAGAGAAAGCAACATCAAGGCGTGCCTGGCGATTATTGTCGGATTCTTCACCTTCTTGGATGAGAAACTAATGGTGGGTGCAGGGGATGGGAATCGATGCCATGGGGCTGCCCAAAGGTGGGAATTTATGGCTGTGTAATTTAGATAATTATCTCAAAAATATTTTATTTCTACAATAATTACATTTCTCAGTAGAAAACAAAGAGGGAGCTGTCCCTGTTTTCCAAAAGTGATACGTCAAAGCTGATGGAAAAATAGGGGTAAAGAAGATGTCTGGAAGGCCCTTAAACAATAAAGATAAATGATTTGTGACATAATATTCCATGATGTGTAGGCCTAACCTATATCTGTCCTATTCAAATAATTATGATAGACCTTCCTATATCTACTCAAATAATTGAGTTTAGGGTCATCTTTATTATGGGCATCTTGTCATTTTGACAGGTGATTACCAGAGTTTACAGATATTTTATTCATTTAAAAGAACAACTGTGGCGTAGGTTTTAAAGGAAATGTGTCTCTTTAGAAGATACTACTATGATCCTGCTAGTTATGACAGATTTGTGATCAAATCTCATTCTTATAATGTCGTCAATGGATCAAACACTGGATCAGGCGTGATGTATAGTTTCTGACAACATTGTTCTTTCGGCATTTTTGATCTCCCAGAGAATAATATAGTTCACCACAAATTATACTTGTGCCCTACTGTAGCCTAGTTTAACCTTGTCAGAGTGGATATCAATCGAATGTTGTCGATCACTGTGATCATAATATGTTCCCCTCTGCTGCTGTTTCTGTATCAGGTTTATAAAACAGATTGTTACAGCTGACCCACCTCGAGTGGCTCTAATTGGGTGGTATTCCAACCTGTTAGATTCATATCAACAGAGTGGCAAAAAGGCTACCTACGTTGGAACAGCCAGACAACTATAGCCTACCGTAGCCTACACTTCGGCCCCTGTGACTAGATAGGCCATAATATGGTTATTGCCAAAGAAAGACTATGAGAACAGAACATATATCAGTCAATAAATGATTTCGACTTTATCCCACTGGCAAAACATGTTTTTATTTATTAATCTGCGACATAGGCCTGTCATAACACATCAATATACATATATTTATAGGCTATAAATCATAATCAGTCTGTTCGAGCTCATCATAATGTATAGACCTACATTATTTATAGTTTCGCCGACGACCTAAATGTATCATACTTCTCCAATCACTCGACAAAAAGTAGCCCATCTTTTTCTTAAAAGTCGAGGCGTGATGCAAGCTGTGTTTGTGGGCGCTTGGCTATAGCCTACTATCGTGTATGTGAATGGGAAGGGCGGCTTGAGGGTGTTGGTTCTACCAGACTAAATGGGTAGGGCTGAGATTTTGCTATGAGAAAGGCGTTGGAGGCTTCTCTAGGGAACTGAAGCCTCCAGTATGGCGACAGCAGCTGACCCCCCTTCGTATTGAAAATATGCCATTGATAAAATAACCTGTTTGATTCCCTCATGTAACATCTCATGCGGTCATATAAAAAATCTGAGATTAGCCGAAATCAAGGCATTCATTTTCTGATGTGTACGCGCACATTTTTCCTTTTCTGTTGTTGTGTCCACATATTTAGCCCATATTTACCTTCCCTCGGCACGCCTACCAGGGAGCACCTTCTAGATGAGACATAGGCTATAGCCTACCATACAGAAGTAGTGTGTCAGGCTGCATGTCAACTTTGATTTAGCAGGTTATGGTAACAGTCAATCAGATGTCATCAATGTGTTGCCCATAGGCTGCTGATAATTGGTTGAATATGATATCATACATTTTCATCTGTTATTTGATAACATATCTATGGGCTATGTATTTCACCTCAATAACTTGCTATTGCTTGCTGTTGACAGCTTAAAACGTTGATTTTGTACCATTTTGCTGAAGCAGTAGAAAAAACAGCAATTCCTAGTGCTAATATTAATTTAAATTCCTATCTCAACTTTCCATAATCATATCATATGTTTGCATGCATGAGTAAACTAAATCAACACGAATATTTAGTCATGAAATGTAACATAATATACAAATAGTGATATGCGCCCTAAGACTAGTATATTTTTAATCGTTACATAATTCTATAATTTTATGTGAGTAATGCCATGACATTTTCATCTCTCCCTCTTGGGCATATCTCTTGTGAACTAATGGAGGATAAATCATTGCCATTCCACTCTTTAGGGGGGATATCAGGCATTTCTGCTAGACCTACCGGCATTTCTGCGCTTAGCCCAGTGCTGTTAAATTTGCAGCACAATGGACAGCAGCACATGCGCGAAAATAACCCGCTCAAATCCCTCAATCAACAGCTCCCGTCCACGAGAGAGAGGGAGAGCAAGTAGCCTAGTAGTTACTTTATTGACGAAGTGATTTTTATTTATTTAAATAACAGACTAAACAACTCACGTCCCACTGGGCACACACTGATTGAATCAACGTTTTTTTCACATAATTTCAATAAAATTACATTG